CCCCCATGTTAACACACACTCAAACACCTGTCTTCAGAGGATTCCCCCAGAGCGGTGTCATGGACCTCTGCAGCTTTGTTGCCTAAAGGAATCTGTGTGTCTTTTATCTGCTGACCGACCTTCAGTGAGTGTTACAGTAGAGGTGTACAGTACCTGCCTATTCAGGTTAGAGGAGGAAGATGTCAACCTATTACCCTCGCACCAAAGACCTGGCCCGCACCAGGAAATCAGTAACAGATTCACCGCCATCCTCTCCATCCTATACAGACAAAAACTACAGAGTAAGCTTTTCTTCACTGGAAGTTGTTTTATTATTACTATTTACAAAAAAAAGTCTGGTTTGCATTCTTCTTTAAGCTGTCATTTTCATCACTTATTTGTGTTTTTCGCTGCAAGTGGGATAACAGCTCTCTTTGGCAGTAGATACATATTTACTTGCAAACAATTTAATTTTATTACGTGAGGTATGATTAATTCAAAATGATTCATTGCTTTACCTTAAAACTTACAGTATTTGCAGGATTCTTACTTTTTTTTTTGCAAAACAAATTGGACTGTTCAAAAATGTTTCAGCAAATGATATAGTCATATAATTTTTCTCTCAAAAAAATATGCAAAGGTATAAGTAGTTTATCCTTTTTTTCTGTCATAACTTGTCTGGTTTTACATTTTTTATCACAATGAACTTAAATATGGACATTTTACATGATTTAGTAACATTTTTTCAAACAACAAACTTCACCTGTTGTTAGAAATGAGATGGATTAGACCTTATAAAGAGCGATTCAGGATTTAGGTGAACTGAATCAACTGCTCTCTGTATCTAATTTCCTAAATATATAAAAGAGGGAAAAGTGTTTCCTCTAAAGCAGTCAAATCGCATTTTCTGGAAAAGACTTCTGGACTGAAACATTCCTTCCGTAATTTCCAGTTTTTTTCTTCTTTTTTGGTTCTAAGTGGCCTGTTCTCTTGGGTGTAGTTTGACTGTTTTGTTTATGTCAGCTGGAGTCTGTGTGACAGAGACATTTAAAGAAAAAAAGAGGGGGCAGGGATACAATGAGATACTGTCTATCTGTTTAAGAATATCATGCAATGTTGCAGACATTCTGCACAGTTGCCAATAGTACATGTTGTGGCTCTCCAGTGGATTCTGCTCTCTTTTTATGGAAGTGTCATTCCTTCTAAGCTGTGTCCCTGGTAAAACGCAGACACTAGTTTTCCATGATGTCAGCCTTGTATAAAAAGGGGAAAGATGGAGTGAATGGGATAGATGGATTATTCAGAGCACTTACTGTACTTTGCTGATATTAATGGCATGTCCCAGTGAAATGTGATAAGTTGCTTCTTGGAATTGACAAGAAGATAGACTATTGGCAATGTGTTTGCATTGCTGCCTGATGCTTAACATCTAGCACATATAAATACACAGGAATAAATAACAGCGCTGATGTTTTAATCAAATGATTAAGAACATTTTCTTAGTGTTTATCCTTTATTTTTGGCACTCCAGTGCATTTCAGTGGGAAATAAGCTGTTTTCTGATTTAAGCTTTGTCTTAGACTTAGGCTAACTTTATTGTCATTTTATATACAACAAATGTATACAAAATAAAATTATGTTGCAGCTTTCAACAGTGAAATGAACATTACCATTTAAAGTACAGCAGTGATCGTCATGTAAGCATTATAGGAGAAAAGGAAAACTAGTTTATAAAATAATGGTTAAAAGGGCCATTAATATGGAAGGGTTCAGAGCATTGCAATATAAATATTGGGCAAAATGCAGTCTGATATTGAGTTCCTTCTTTAAAAGGATTTTAAAAGTTTCAGTCATACTGGTAGTGCATAATAATGTTGCACGTGTGATACAGTCCAAATTAGTGTTTAATAGTTTAACAGTCTGATGACAGTGGGGGAAAAGCTACTGAAGAACCTGCTGGGTCTGCAGCGGATGCTGTGAAGCCTTTTGCTAGCACTGGAAAAAAATACTAGATAAGTCAATTTTTCCTAAATTAAGTGCATTTGTTCTTGAATTGACGAGGTAAGTGAGACACCTTGCCAATGAAACAAAACAATTTACATTTGAAATAAGAAAAAACAATTGCATTGTCTTATTTCAAGTGCATGTTATCTAATTATCTTATTTTAGGAGTAAAAATACTCATTCCATTGGCAGGTGATCTTATTTACCTACTCAAATTAAGGGTAAATACACTTAATTTAAGACATTTTTACTTATTTTAAGATCATTTTTGCAGTGAGAGGGCAACAGGTAGAACAGTAAGAAAAGAACAGATGAAAGAAGTTTAAATAAGAACGATGTATATTAAAAATACATTTTTTGACACAACCATAAAATCCATGGCAGCCTGCTCTAGCTGGGCATTTAATTGTGCATGCTGCAGTATAAGATGTAAAGAAAGGTTATACTACAGTATTTCTTTATTTATTGATTGTTTTTAGAGGTGGTAATTTTTCTAAGGTAGAGTGGCAGAGCAAGTGCCCAATAGTATGATGGTATCAGCTGTGTTACCAGAGCAGTTTTTTTTTTTCTTTTTTTACATGTGTCTTAAAAGTATCAGATTTGGGGATCTTTTTTGTTTTTGGTCCTCTTGTTGTGTGTCAGTGTATTGTTTATTTCTTTGTTTATTGTAATCTTTAAGTATTGCTTTCTTTAGTTTGATTTAAGAAGTCGGATTATCCTTGGAGCCTTTTTCTTTACACCTCATTCTTTATAGTGTACTTCTTACCTCTACTATACTGTTTGCTCTTCCCATACCATCATCTCTTCTCAGTTCACGCTTTCCTTCTGCTTCTTTCTGCTTGTCTTCATGTTGGGTTTAACTCCTTGCAACACAGTCTGATAGTAACTTGGAGAGGTTTAAAACATCTGCAACAATATTATATCAAAAAAAAAAGAAAAAAATAAGCAAATACTTTTTTTTTTTTTTTTTAACAATTCTTGAGTTTATCTTCTTGAGATACTTTTCATTTCCTTCTAAACTTTCTTCACTGAACCTGCCTCTAGTTTCAATCAGGGACAGTAGTTTGCAGATCTTTTGCTAAATTAGTGAAAACTTTGAGGTGAAGTTGAGGTTATAAAGTAATGCTGCACTGTAAGGAATTTTAACTGTTATGACTTGGAATCATGTCTTTTTTTTCGCTGACATAAAATACTTTTCCTATCTACTAGCTCTCATCTGTTTGTTGAATATAACAAAGTTCATACATTTTTTATCAAAAGATCAAAAAAGTATTTTGAGTTGTTCTCTTATAATTAAAATCTTTGGGAGTTTGGTTTTGAGTTTAAACTTGTTTTGGTGGCTCTTTCTCTCCTTTTTATTTTGAAACTGAGTCCACTCGTTTTTATATATTTTAAAACTTCTTTGTGACCTTTAGGCTTAAGTCTTGATTAATTCATATATTTGTTTATGCTCAGTTTCTGCTTTGTGTGGTATTCTGGTTTCTGTGTTTTTGCTTCCTTAGTTCCCTCTGTTTTACAGTATTTGCCTTCTTATTCAGCTATACCCTTTTATCCATCCAGCTTTCCTATTTTGGTAACTATTTCAAATTTCTTTAAGTTTTTTTTACTTAACAACCTATCTACCTCTTCTTTGTATTTTGGTTCTACTCTACACCATTTCTTTAGAAATTCAAACATAGAATGTTGTTACCCAACCCTGATGACAAAATTCAGGATACTTGTTGGTAAATACCCTGCATAATTGATACAGATATCTATTCTGAGCAGCACTAACGTCAACCAACTACCTGCATTGGTCCTTGAGCCACAGTTCAAGCTAAATGCCACAAAAAATAAATAAATATATATATATACTTTTACAGATTGACTGTTTCATTGTAATTTTCTAAAGAACAAAGTTTTGTTCACAGCCCTACAAGCAGGGTTTTGTAATGATTAATTCTCACAATCAGGGATGCAGTCACCCCTGCTGATTAATATATGAATACCAAGTCTAGATGGGCAATCCTCCTGCTGTTACACAGATGAGAGTGAAAAGGAAAACAGAAATCTGTTCTCAGCTTCTTCCTTGGCTCTTATTCACCTGAGGTCTTTTAAGTCTGCCTTTTCCTGGATAGCTCTGCAAAAGCACATGACCACATAAGGATAGGCAGCGGCTGCTAGGCTCAGTTATGTAAACACTCACTGCAGAACAGCTCCTGTGACTCCTAATGAAGAATCGTCATGCTTCAGCAAATGTGAAAACAGGGAGGAGAGCTACTTTGATCGTTATGAAACCGTTTCGTTCCAAAAGTAACCTTACGATACAGGTGTTAAACATCTTTGACTGACTTGCAAAATTGCTGTTGAAAGACATTTTTCATGCTTTTAAAAAATTGATTCACCATTAGAATTCGTTTGTGTCATGATTACTGATGCAAACAGGAGGAAATCAAAGCCCCAGGGAAACCATACATGCTTTTGCTATGTATGACTGTGCTCATGCTATGAATCTGCAGCTGTACACAGATTCCCCTGATGCTTCAATAATTACAACATCGGGACACAGACTCGGCAGCATTGAAGTGACTTCTGACAACAAAAACCCTGCAGGACAGTCTTACGTATATCAGTGAGTGGTTTGGGGTCAGTCAGTGGCCTGCCATGCCTCACTCCTGATGTCATGATGTCAGTTGTGTGCTATAGGTGTTTGGGAGGCAACAGTTACCAAAACTAGAGAGGTCAGTTAGGCACAGGCAGGCAAGAGATGAGTGAAAACAAGTGTTAAATGATATCCCCGTTCTACACACAATTCCTCCTAGTACTGCAATATGGGCTCTAAACATGCAGTGCTAATTCAGCTCTCAGTCTTTCTTATTGTACCCCTTTTGTCTGAAATGGAAAATATTTATCTGCTCAGCCTTTGTTTTGACTATCAAACAAACAAATCTGGATCCACTTCAGAAGTGTTTACACTGTGTTGTACTCAGGCTATGATTCTCAATGATCCTGATATGTCTTTTTTTTTTCTTTTCCAGCATGAAAGACTGTTGAGGTAAGGATAAAACATTTTACTTATTGAAATTTTGTGTGTGTGTGTGTGTGTGTGTTTGTGTGTTTTTTAACATATACAGGTTGAGCTCTGTTGACTTCAGATATGACTCTACTGGAGAAAATGCCACAGACAAACCTTTGGGCCGCACCAGCTCTTACACAAGAAGAGAGGCGAGGCTGGCAGCTCTCAATAAACAGGAGGAAGACTCCACTGCCAAAGACTATAAGAAGGTAGTAACCCAATCAAATAAGCCCTCCCTCTGACTAATTTTAAGCTGCTGTTTTGAACAGTCTTACTGCCTAAAATATTTTATTCATGCCCTAAAATTTACATTACAATGAAAGCCTTTGGGACCTATCAGGTTAAAGAATCGTGTTCTTTTTATTTAATCTTAAATATTTAAAACAGTGATGAACTGAGTAATTTCACTTTTAGAATAGAATACCAAATAGAATAGAAAATCCCTTTATTGTCACACACTGGGGAAATTGTGGTGTTACAGCAACAGAAGACTATAGCAAACGTGGTCACACAAATGTGGACCATAAACAGTGTACAAAAATAATAGAATAAGTGACAGAGTTGAAAAAATAAACAAAACAAAAAAATAAAATACATTCCTATGAAAAGATATTGACAAAAATCAGTGCTATTTTAGCTGGATTTCCTTCCTTCCTTCCTTCCTTCCTTCCTTCCTTCCTTCCTTCCTTCCTTCCTTCCTTCCTTCCTTCCTTCCTTCCTTCCTTCCTTCCTTCCTTCCTTCCTTCCTTCCTTCCTTCCTTCCTTCCTTCCTTCCTTCCTTCCTTTATCTCTTTATCATTTCCATTCATTAACTGCTGCATAGTAACATCCATAAAAAAACTCTTTCAACAGCATCCAATATAAATGGTGTGTTAATTCAATTTAGTTCAGTTCAGATACTGTTTAATCAAATAATACTGTTAGACTAGTTTAAAGTTTTCTATCTACTGTTAGAAAAACAAGCTGATTGCATTGACTCATTGACTCAACAGCAATCCCTCACAACAAGCTGTAGTTACTTACAGTACTAAACATTTAAGTCAATGTAAGTCAAACATTACAAATGTGGTTTCAGCTGACAGTAAAAAAAAATTGCTGTTAGGTTTTTTGATGTTGTAGGACAAATTTTGATGGATCTAAAATGGCCTCTGTTATAATGGCCTTCTGGCCCCTTTTCCATAAATGACACATTTGTTGAATGCAAAGCTTGTGGTTGTGCTGTCAGCATATTCTCCCACCTAAGCTATGGATCACTGCAGCTCCATCAGATTTACACTAGGCCTTTTGGATACTTCTATCATTAAAAGCTCTTCTTGTTAGGATTTGTAATTACAGGTTATTGGTTCTGTCTGGGTTGGTTTGCTGTTGTGCAATTTTCTTTTTTTATTTTTAGAGGATAGATTAATGAGTGCAGAGTGCGATAAACGAACTAAAGATCTTGTTTTATAATCTAACCCTGCATTAAATTTCTCTACAACTTATCCTTGTATTGTGTGTTCCTGGCTCTTCGTGATGATATCGCCTTACTAATCTTTAACACACTTCTGAGTAAAGGTGTGTGCATCCCATGTGACAAAATGTGAAAAGGTTAAAGTTATATGAATGCAAGGTATGCTAGACCAGCATGGTTTTAAGACTTTTACATTTGCAATTAGAAGAATAGAATGATAACCCTAAATCAGGGATCTTAAAATCAAATCCTCAAGGGTCCTCAAATCCTGCTACTCTATCTTACAATCTCAGCAAATGAGCTCACATTAGAGTCGAGGCCCCTGAAATCATAGGATGGGTTGGTGCATAGAAAACGTTTTTTTTTTTTTTTCATATTTTACTTTTCTTAAACTGATCAGTGTGTTGATATTTTTAAATGTTTAATCCATTACCTCCTGTGTTACTGTGATATTTTTTTTTATTGCTGAATCAGATATGTCATGCAATCAAGTTAAACTGTTATGTGGGTACATTTTGTTTTCCTTTTTCTCTGGTCAAGTTCTAATCATGCGTCACCTTAATCACCTAAAGATTCCAACATGAAAATGGTCCCGTTAAATTTGATGAATTTTTTAAAACATGTCTGAAGAACTTTTCTTCTAGAAATGATAAAATACCTACTTATTTCTCTTCTGTCAGAGATATTTATGGAATATTCCAACTCTGACCACTGGCTACTCCAGAAAAGGACACACCTTTTCCATCTCTTTCTTATGCTATGTACATCAAAGAATTAGGGAAAAATTTACCTAACAGGGTCACTCCAGACAGTAATAAAAATAAAAAAAAACCCAGGACATATTTTAGAGTAGCTTTAACCCTGCATTTGCAAATGGGGCCAAGGAGAAAATAATCAAAGATAATAATCATGACAATATTTAAACTGGAAAACACCCGACAATTACAAGCACAAAAAGGGAAGAAACCCCAGTCTTAAAGATCATGGCTAAAAAGTTGAAAAAAATAAAGCACCTTAAAGCTATACCAATTTCATGTTATTTGTTATTTATCAATTAAACTTTTTTTATCTGCAATAATTAATTTAAAGTTTAAAGTAAAATTATTCAAAGCTACTTCCCTTTTTTTAATTTCTGTTTATATTTTAGATGTATACAGAAGCTTTGCAAGAGAATGAAAGACTCAAGTCTAAGCTGCAGGACAGCAAACAGGAGTTAGTGAAGATCCGTTCCCAACTGGAGAAAGTTGCTCAGGTAATTTCTTTTTACGAATTCACAAAGACATGTAATCAGAAAATGAAAATAAAGTTTCTCCATCATATTTTTCACCAACGATGCTAAAACAACAGTGTTGCCTTGCTGCAAGAAGCTCCAGCCTGTCTGTTTCCTCATACTTTTTACATGTTCATTCCATAAATTGGGAAAGGCTGTCTCCCATGATCTACAGTAAATACATGACAGTTTGGTTACATTATTACTCTGAATTGCAGATATGCATAAATGTGCCTGTGCATGGTTGTACTGTATGTCCTGTGTTGGACTGGCAACATCTCAAGGATCTACCATACATCTTATTCAATTGCTGCTGGAAATAGCCACTGGTCCCTCTGTAATACTGCAAGAACTTAGACTTAGAAAACCTTTATTATCATTTTGAAATGAAATGAAATTATGTTGGTTACAGCTTCCAACAGTGAAATAAGCAGCTTACAGCAGTGAAATGAACAAGCAGGTATTAATGATAAATGGGGAAAAACCTTCTCAAAATGATTCTAGAGATCAATTGCATGTAACATCTGCTTTTCAAATTTGTAGAGGCAGGACAGACTTTCAGAGCGATCTACAGTTCTTGAAACAGAGAAAAGGGTAAGTTTTTTGTAACTGGTTGATTCCAAGGTATATAATTTGATCACGCTTTTTCACTGAATTTCAAGATGTGGATACCTTGATATTTTTGTGGTTGTCCTCCTCTGATACTCTTTTTCTGTTTCATTTATTTACAGGAAAAACAAGCTCTTGAGAAAAGAGTCACAGACATGGAAGATGAAGTAAAGGTCAGTCTTTGTAACACTAAATTCTGTGCAGCCACCCTGGGATTATACAGTATACCTGTTTTTGTCAGAGAAACAAGCTACAATTCATTTGTCTCATTGATGTTTTCTCCATGAGCAGTTCTTGACAGTATGGCGCTAATGCAGAGCTGCTCCCGGTCCTGTTATAGACTAGATATAAAGTGTTTTCACCGAGCAGAGCAAACATATAGCCCTCTATAAACTTGGTGGTCAGTGAAGTGGATTTGGAGTCAAGGGGAGGAGAAGGATTACGCTTCAGACTCATTAGACACACTGTTGTGCAATGCCACTTCCTGCCTTGTGTTGCAGCTCCCTTGCTCCAATTCTTCCACTGTCCGGGTGAACATTGTGACCTAGTTCCATCTGAATACCAAAACCCATCAAGAGCTTCTCTTGTGAGACATTCCAGAATACATTCTGCCTGACATAGAAACCCAGGGAACAGCATCAGACAAAATTCACGTTTGAGTGTAGGATTATGCTATTATATTTAAATTCATTACATGTAATTCAAAATTTCAACAACATTTTTTTAAGCTTAATGCATTTAAACTAGTTGGCTTAGATGTCAGAACATAATCCAATTAAGCAATAGTTTATAAAGGTATAATATATCAAAAAAGCAGCATGAAATACAAGCAACCGGTGTTTGAACCCAGCTTTATCCTGGTTCCCTTCAGCAGGCACCCACAATGCGCTTCCGCTGTGGGTACCAGCCCTGAGACATGGCTTTCTCAGGGAAGGGGGATGGTGAGTGCTCGCCCTGATGCTTAGGAAAGATTAAAACCCACCCATCACCTCACATGTAATGCTTTGCCAAATTACAGGGCATGCATACACTTGCATTTGTTATCCTTTTAATTCTATCAGTACCTCACTGTTTGAGAGTCACAACTTTTGGTATGAGGCACCTCAAGAGACCACTGTTGTTTGCACCTCTGTCACACCTGTTTGTTCACACTGAGACAGCTATATAGTCTCCAACACAAGGGGGAACTGTTCAGTTATAATCTGCAGCAAATATAGAATCCGAAAAGTGGCACATCTCACTTGTTTATTGATTATAACCTACAGTACTAAAGCAGAATATTAAAGGGTTATTATATTTAGCAATTATTTCTGTAGATGTGGTTGATTATGATATACAGCTAATGAAAACCAACAATCCATCAGAGTTTTTCATAGGAAACATGGCTGTCTTAAGGATATTTTTGAGCTGAGCATCGGAAGGTGGTTGTAATTATTTATTTATCTAGATTTTTCTCGTTATTATTCCATGCACTACACCTATATCTTCTTTCTTTTTTATGTCTCTTTTTAAATAAAGCCCACTATTATTTCTTTCAACCTTTCTCCTTCTTGGGACACGAAGTTAATTTCCCCCCTAAATGTGCAAACGACAGTATTGCATATTAACAGATTGCTCAACACAGCAGCTGTTTTCGGGTCCTTTCAAACTTGAATGCTCTTTCCCTACCTTCAAAGTTTGCTCTGTGTCTAGTGGTAGGGCAGTAGCTTGTGTGTTCATCTGACTGTAAGTCTATGACATTGTCTTAAGGGTGCAATGTTCACATTTTCATAACACTTTGCTCGCCTTTATATGAAAATAAGGAGGTAAATGTGTTTGAATACAGAGTCGCTACACTCATTGAAATTCATGGCATGACTGTGTATGTTCAATGTAATTTTAACATACTTTCAGCTGTTAGGCTGAAATGTGCAATAAAGAACCCTGGGGAGGAACCCCAGATGTTAGTCAAAGAGCTGATATGCTCTTAAAAACTAGTGTCTGCCTAAATTTCAACATGGTAGTAAAACTTTATTGTGATGGCTCACAATGCTGAAATATGCTGGACAGAAATCTGGGAAAGATAACAAAGAAGTTTTTACCCTAAAATATGGGCCAACTAAAAAGAATGCCCTTGAACTAATTCATAGATTTATAAATGCAAATCTCTAACTAATTACATCGACATCTGATTCCTTAGTATTAACATCGCCTCAAGTGTGCTTGCCCTTTTTAATTGTCATCATGGAATGCTCATTTAACCTTGTGTCTATGCTTTTGAGGATGTGAAAAGGTGGTAATCCCAACACTGGCTTTTTATCTCAATAGAAACAACTTGACCTGCACCAGCCATGAAATCAGAAATGTGACAGGTGTAGCCCAGAACTAAACTTATTTCTTTTAGTTGTGTACTTTTCTCAGCACACTTTATTATTTGTTCAACCTAAATCGTTATTGATATACTTGGAGGAAAGACTATGTGAAAAAGTCCTTACTAATAGCAATAAAGATTAGTGGTTTTGCCCTATTTTGGACAGTATGCTTGGACTACTGTTAAGTCAGTAGTCCTACCCATAATTGTGTAGGCCATAATAGGACATTGCTGAAGTGTGTGGCTCTCAGCCAGGGGAGCAAACAAGGGCTTAAATACACACAGCTCTCCTCAGGCTGCATTAGGGAGGAAATGCCCGTTAAAGGTTCAGAGAGAGAGATTGTCAAAGCAAAGAAGTTGGTTTTAGATGACACAATTTAAATATTGCTAATTTCATTGTGTCATTTTTACAAAAGTCTGCTGTAACCCAATCTAACAGCTACGGCTGCAGGCCTTATTTCATTGAGAGGTAACAAATGCTTGTTTATTTATTACATTTTTTCCCCATCCTCTTATTTTCCTAACCTGCAAAGAATATGTGCACATTGTTCTTATAGGCGTGCTAAAGTATTTGTTTCCTGTCTGAGATATTAAGGCAAGAGCTAAAGTTTTACTAATGCTAAGAGGGTAACTTATGTCTGCTCTGCTAACTACCTTGGTAGTTCAGTTTATGCTATGTTCATTTGTAGAATGTCTCTCATAAACATAAGTACTTTATTTTTACCATTGATGCTTGCCGCTGTGACTTAGAGGGGTTGATAAACAGCCCTGCAGCTGTTAATTCCTTTATTTTTAGCTTACCCCTGGTGTGATGTCTTCACAACAGCTGATTATACACCAAAGTGCAATTCCATGTCCATTTTTTGCAGTCATCCTTACTCTGAAGGCTAGTTGATTTAAAATTACAAATTAACATTAATAATCATAAATCAACATATCATTTTTGAAACATTATTTGAGCAAAATTATTTTTCCTGTTCAGATAGATATTTGATTTAGTAAAAATACAAAAAGTCCATAGGTTTTACCCAAAATGAACAATCAATTCAAGTTTTGTAAAGTCTAAAAGACTAAAATAAATACTCCTAGGGAGTCAAACTTACTCAGCCACTTCCAAAGCAATTGCCTGTCAACACAAAGGTTTGCAACATACTTGGAAATGTGGTGTCTCATGGGAACTGAGCATTTCTCATATAAGACCTTGTTGCTTAAAGATACATATTTACACTCAAGTGTTATCACTCCATTGCTTTTCTTTTACTGTTAATTGTTATTATTAATTGTTCCTACAATCATTATTATTCTTTAGCTCAATATTTTTCTTTCTATTCGTTTAAATTTTCCATAGTAGCCTAGTTGGATATTAGTAGCCAAGTCAAAGAATTTATATTTTAACTGGAAGTTGAATTGTTTTACTAATTAACTATTTGTTTTAAAGAGAATGTGTTTAAAAATGTGTAAAGCTTGTTTCAGAATGCTAGCCCACAAGTTTACTTCTTAATCTATAGTTCTATAATCGCACAGCTCACTACATTGATATCATAAAACAATAATTAACAGTTTGAGTGCTGTTTGTCCATTAGTTTCAGATAAATAAGTGATGCTATGACTTGTTAACATTGTCCAATTCTAATTAACTACTTAACTTACTTAACTACTCTTGAACATATTAATGGGTTCTAATACCCAAACCAAAACTGTTTTTTTTGTTTTTCCAGAAAAAGTAGAAAGGCCTGTTTTATGGTTTATGTAATACTCACATATCTAATCTGACAAACTGTTGGTTTCCATCAGCTGTGAGTCATAATCTTTAAAATGAACAAAAACTAAAAATTAAATATGTCACTGCATGTGTGATAAATCTATGTATGAGTTTCAGTTTTTGAACTGAAAATTACTGAAACTAATTATGTTTCAAGTAATGTACCTGGATAGAGATGTTGGATTCTGCTACTATATAGGTAAATAAATTAAGTGCTTTAATATCAAAGCTATTGATTTTATGTATGAGCAGCTTAAAATAATAACAAAACAACATCATTGCGATAGTAGCCTATCACTGTCCAAATTGTGGAGGCTGTTATTCTTCTTGCAACAGGCAGAGTTTTATCTTTCGTATGGTTTTGTCTGGGCAATGTGTCTTCCAGAAGAAAAAAAAAAAAAAAGACAGGTTCTATGTGTCATGATTGGTTTAATTTCAAACCCACATGCAGAACACAACGGAAGCTGGGTAAAAGTTTAACAGAGTTTATTTAAGATATTGACACACAAAAACATGAACTGGATCTGGAACAGGTCCGGGTAGGGTTCACTGAAGTCTTGACGGGGTCCAGGCTTCTCTTGTGAGAGAGGGAACCGTTGGGTCCAGAGACTGTTGGTTCAGCAGAGTACACAAGCAGCTGCAGCGTCTAGCTTCTGACTTTGAATGGCAGACCTTGATCAGAGTTTCCAGCTCTTCACAGAGAGCAGCTGGGGAAATCCAAATAGGAATCTTCAGGTTTGGCTCACCAAAGCTGGAAGGCAGGTTAAGCTCACCCAGAGCTTCAGGCTTAAGACAGGTTTCCAAACTAAGGTCAACACTGCGGCGTTGAAGGAAGATCTGGCAGCTGCTAATGAAGGGAAGGTCTCCTGATGAGTAGATGCGTCTCAGGTGTGCTGGAGGGCTCCAGCCCAGGAGACCCACGGCACACTCTTCTGGAGGAAGGTGGTACATCCCCAGATCCCAACACTATGTTATACATGCAGTAGTTTCAGCTGCTTCTTGCTTGTGACTCTGATCATTCCTAATTGTTTTAAATATCCTGTGTGTGTCTTTTATAAACATTCTCATAATATAGCTGAATTATTTTTGACAGAATCAAAATAATTTGCAGAACCTTAGAAGTTAATTCTTTCCTACTCCATATCAAAGGTCTACATTTTAAACAGGAGGAATAAAGGATAACGGTCATTACATATGCTTACCTCACACTGACTTTTTTTCTCCACTTCTGTTGCCAAGGACTTGGAAAGTTGGCTAAAAGCTGAAATGTTTTGGTCAAATGCCAGGAGAATTTTTCAGCTTTTGCTGTTGAACTCTAAACCCAGAGTGTTTTAAATTAGGTTAATGAGTCTGTTTGGTTTTCTAACCAGTAAACAGAGTTTTAATGTAAACACCTCTTTTTTATATTCACAAAAACAAACATGTTCCTAGCTGGCCGAGGTTTTTTGGTAACTTGTCTAAAATCATATGATGAAAGAGGCAAATCAATATAAATTTGTCAGAGTGAGTGTTGAAGCTTTCCATTGACTCCATCTGTCTGACTTCTGTGGTTTCCCCACAGACATAGTGTCAAACCTCAGACTTTTCTTTCGGGCTACACTGAGGTTAACCTCAAACAGGCAGCCAAGAATAAAGAGGGGGATTGTTTAATACTTTGCTTGTTAGTTTATTGCAGTGAACTCTTGTGCAAAGTCTCAAAGATTTAGTATAGCTTTGTGAATGTCTCTGAACAATGATTCAAGGCCAATTTAAAACAAGGCATTCTCCATAAGATTTAGATTTTGTAATTTCTCTTGCATATTTTATTAGTTTATTTATTTTTTTGGTATCCCTTCAAATAATCCCTATATGGTAAATGTATATTTAGATGCAACTTTCGCTATTTCATTTCCTCTGTGTATGCATGCCTGTATGATTGAAGATGGACTTTGTCAGTGTTCTTTTTGCAAATGCCTTTCTCCCCCTGCTCTGTTTGCTTGCTTCTCTCTATATCTCTCTCCTCATGTATGCAGGCTTTCCCAGCCTTGGCCCAAGTCCAGGCTTTGCGGAGAGTGAACGAGTGTCTCCTGGCTGAGAACAGAGCCATGCTGCGTGTCCTAACTCGCCTCTCTGAGACAGCCTCCATGCCAGAGACAGAGGACCTCTGATCCTCGGGATCTTCTAGCCTATTTCCTCCCTATTGTTCTCTTCTTCAGCCCTTTAAGTTTTAGTCTTCTCTTTCCTTCTGGCACTTTCACAGCTTCCACCCTTCCTCCTCCACTGTCCTCCCCTCAGGCAGGTCCCAAACCCCTTTGAATGCTTGCTTTTTTGCATGTTTTTCATTTTTTCCTAATGGCATTAAAAGAGCAACATTTTGCCCACGGAAAAACTGCTATAACAATAGCTATACTAATTTAAAATGACTAATTAACTATTTGCTTTAAGTTGAAATGTGGATAAAGATCTGTTGTGTTCCAGATCATTGCAGGCTACTGGAGCATTGTGATTTTTACAGAACTGACATGTTTTCAATATTTGTATGATTGTCTAATCAATTATTTTTGCAATGTGTTGCATTGCATTTAATTTTTTTTTCTTTAATTTTGGGGATCACTATAATACACATTTATCCTTGATTTTAATTAGATTTGAAGCCTGTACGTTTTTAGAAATGTTAATATCTTACACTCATTTACTGCCATTAAGTCATCAGTGGGCTATTGGATTGATAATAATAAATAAAGCCTTGAAACACTGATAGGCTCTTAGGACCATCCCCTTAAGCAGATTCTACAGAGTTTCAGTTAGATCAAAATAAATCAAATATCTACTATTCAATCAGAACCAGCAGAATAAAATTCTAAAAGGTCTTTAACTTTTTTCAACATTTTTACATTTCAAATGTTATTAAAAAGTTTTAAAAGAATAAATTGTTCTAAGGTGGAATTCGCTTTTATTATGAGCAATAAAAAAAAGATTCTGCTGTATTGACATCTGTATTTAAACAGGGAGATCAAAATTGGAACAATTAATGCATGTACTACATGAAAGTAGTGTAAAAACTAAAACTATTTCAGATATTCAAATGAGTGCTTAATCTATTTTCATACTGTTTATCGTGATTTCATACAGGTACTATCCACATATTGTAAAGTAACCAATAACATCAGTTTAAAGAACCAAATTTGACAAAGTTCTACCGTTTATAAACTACATTCATATGAGCCATTATGACTACTTTATTTTTTTGGTTGATGATGTGAGATTATAAAAAATGTGTCCTTCTCTTTATGTTGAAATTTATCATGGGCAAAAATAGCTATGAAAGCTTACTTGGTTTAATGTAAAAATATAATTGACTTTTTGGCAGATTATGAATTAACTGTGACTTATATTTTTAGTGCAGCGTTAATGGTTTCACCCACATAGCTACCAGGCCTGTAGAATCAGTAAATGATTTATTTAGAACCTTTCTGACGGCACAAAGAAGAAAATTTTGCACACATCAAGAGCCAGTGACCACAAAAGAGTAAACCTTGGAAGGCTCAGCAAAAATACCATCTGTAACTGAGATCCATGATCAAAACTGCTGGCTGTAAAAAACACAAATGTCTACCTCACACTTACAAAAAAATATGTAGATGATCCAAATTTTCTAGGGAAAATAATTTCCAAACTACTGTGATGAACGTGGAACTCTGTCTTTGAAGGGAGTGAGAAATAGTTCTCTCCTTTTTCATCCTTGACCCGTTTTCATGTCTAGTTATTAGATTTGGGGGGAGATTAATTTATCATGAGGAGCTTACTTAAAATTCATCATTATCCGAGAACTGTATTTTGTATTCTTTCTCTTAGGGGGCTTTTTTAATGGCACTGCACAGGTGTATTCAGCCACTTTAATAAAAAAAAATGTTCTTGTAGTTTTACAAAGTGTAAGCCGAAATACAATTCTTTAGAAGCATTCGGGTTCAAGTGTTATCATTGCTCAGTTTTGGTCATTATGACAGAAAACAGACAAAAAAATTCAGGACATGTCCGATTATTTTTGCCAATTTGTTGTTTTGGAGTTGTACTGTATGTTGTGCTGCATGAGTAAAGAGTTGTTGCTGGATTTATCTTTCAAGATAAACATATTTTAAAGAGGAATACATGTTTTTAGTCACTGTTTCCCTTAAGATTCAGATTTAAAAACTTTACATTTTCTCACTTTTATTCACAACTTTTTTCAGAGCATCCTGTCATTTCACTTCTCAACGCATGACCAATTCTTACAAAGCAAACTCCCATAGCCTCAAACTCTACTTAAACTCTTGGCCACTATGTTGTGGTTCTTTTAGAATATTTTTAATCACAGTTGTTGATTAGGTCATTGCAAAACCTATTTTTTTAGTATAATAAACAACTGCTACTAAAGTTTTTTCAACTATATACAAGGTAAATGTAACTACTCTAATATTACATATTTCTATTTTCTTTCCAAAGGTCTTAAAAGAACTTAAGTCAGACAACCAGAGGCTGAAGGATGAGAATGGGGCTCTCATTCGAGTCATCAGCAAGCTGTCCAAGTGAAAAGATATCTACAGCTTTTCTTCTGGTGCTTCACTCTTCATACAACTATTTAATTATTCACAAGTTTAGTTATAATTATTTTCCTTTAAGTGTTTTTCATATCCACAAGGGACCAAGTTTACCACTTGGAAGACTGTTTCTGATGAAGCATAAACACCCTTTTTACACCTTTACAGCACCAAACTTTGATGTATTATTAGGGGATAGTTTGCATGGACCAACAAAAACTGGTGAATATCCTTGTAGTTGAAGAACATGGATTACATAAATTTTTAAATATTTGAAAAATGTGCATTCAGTCACCTTTTTTTATATTAAAACTGCAAGTCTTTGAGGTAGGAACTGTGTATCTTTGCAGCACTTCCAGTGTAACCGTTGACCTCTAAGCTACTTTCAGTACTAATTCTCCCCTTGCCTGGTCTAGAGGTTTAGAAGGATGGTGAAGTCTTGATAGATTTTCAGTTGTTCCAAACTTTTGATTTATGGACCCTTTTTTTTTATAACTTATCCCCGCTGTAAACATTTCAATAACTCTATCCCTGACCTACCTGGTGTATTCATTGGTTTCCATGATGCTGTTTATTGTGTGACGACTTCGAAAAATACTTTCATAGATCAGTGGTATTAAATTAAGGGTGGCCAAAAGGTGCAAACACACTGCAAATAGATAAATAGTGTTTGCATTACTTTATGTATTTGCAACTTTCAGCCACTGTATACATTGACTTTTGAAAGCAAGAACTTGCACAATGTTTTTTAAGGTGTGATGATGAAAGGAGTTGACCGTGTATTTCTCAACACAAATGAAAACCATGTATCCTTTTCTCACGACTTTACAGCTATGAGTTACTTTAAGATGCTCTGCATATAAAATCCCAAATAAATAAATTAAAATTTGTGGTGGTCATTTGAGAAAATGCTGAAAAATGAGGAGTCTTTTTTTTCCCCAAAAGATATTGTACGTTTAAGGTCCAGTTCAAGCAAACTAAGGTTTGCTTAACCTTACACAGTAATATATTATATCATATACTGTTGTACTGATGGTTCATGTTTGTTGATAGACATTGCAGCACATTTGTTTATTAGTTCTTAACAGTTGGTTATTTTACTGGAATTAATTAATGGACTTGGAAATAAATGTTAAAAATGTCTCCCATATTATGTTGAGAATAGAAAATGTGTTCCTATAAAGAGTAGTAAAACCTAAACATAAATATTTGGGATTAGGTTTGGGTGAATTGAGAATTTCCTCTGATATAACTTAGCTAAGCAAAGTTCAGTGCCTCACAGATATAGAATTCATATTTTCAAAACTCCCCAACATTCTAAGAGACACAAAACACATTTAATCTAAACCAAAAGGACAGAGTACAGGGCACATCCATTCAGTTGATTTTGTTTACAAACAACCCTGAACGCGAAAAAAAAAATTATAAAATGCATTTTTGTCATCCCAAATCTCACTGAAAGTACTGCATTCTAAAGAGACATCTCTATCAATAAAAAAATCAGGTCAATATGAATTCCTTTATAAAAAAACAGTAATTTTTACACATATTTCTCATTTTGTTGCTTCAGAAGAGTTTTAATTTAATGGCTGATCTTATGCAACATTTTAAATATATTTAAAAAAAAAACTATATCTTCAACCAAAAACAGTGCCGTTATCTGATGCAACGCACACGCAAAGTTCAATGCAACAGTATTTTAGGTCCTGACAAGCAGCTTGTCTGCATGCTCTCCTAAAATTGGAAGTTTTAGGAGAGCATGTTTGGTAATAACACATTTTTAATTTTTTTGAAATGTTTCTGGGCAGCATTACTTTGTTGCCAGCAGCACAGAGCTTATAAACCATATATAAAAGGTTATTCAAGTATTTAAATTTATTCAAAGACATTAGAAAAACTGACTTTTGACTCCATTTAAGAAAACACCCAATAACAATGTGAAATCTTATAAGACTAAAATAAATGATCTGCAGAAGACTGGGGTAACGTTATTGTTGCTGACAGAAGGCTAAATTTAAGGTTTTGCCACAAAATATTAAGTTAAGGGTACCATCATTTTGTCCAGGCCTGTTTTATGATTTTATTTTTTTTAGTATTCTGTTGAAGCGTGGTTGTAAAGCAGTGTCTTCATTTCATTTCTTTATTTTCATAAATCCTTTATTTATTATAAACATTTTTCTTTCATTAAAAGAGGGATACGAACAATGCTGTCCATGTTTGTAATGCTATTGTATAGGGTGGGATCAATATTACCTTTTTCTTCAACAACAGTCACATAAAGCTTGGGAATGATCTGGATATTTACCAGTACTGTCCAAAAAGTCATATTCATAAAGGAGGAAAAGAAGCTGACGTAATGCTAATCAGTTCTAAGCTCAAAAATAACTTACGAAAGATTACAAAAACTGTAAATTGCTAATTTCCTTTTTTAGAAAAGGATGACCTATGGAAGTCCTAGAAGCCAAAAAAAAAATGCAGATTATAATTTCAAAGTGTTTACCTATAGATTTATTTTGGGCATTTTAATACATATCATTCAAGTGTTTCATTTAAAGTGAGGTTGGTGGGGCGCTATCAAAGATATTAGGGGTCCATCTTTCAATTGAGCAAATATTTCTGTATTGCTCATATCTAATAATATGCATCACATATTTCCATTTTAAATAGTATTTTTTTTGACTACTATGATCATGATTTTTCACAAGCCCGATTTTGTCTCCCTCAATATATGGGGCTCTAGGCAGAGACTGTGAGGCATGTGCGGGGAACGCTGGGGTTGCAGGAAAAATAACAAGGCTAAAGTGGAATGGCTTTGCTAAGACCAGGCCTAATAATAAGGTAATATATATATATATATATATATATATATATATATATATAGATATATATATATATTTCACAGAAGGAAACAGGAATGGACTTATTAAAATCTGAAGACAGACTTTTATCTTTCATAATTATTGATTTCATAGATCTAGGCTTCAATTTAATTAAAGTGGATTCATGACATAATGAATTTGGCAAATGGCAAAAATAATGGTTATGCTAATGATATAAACAAAAGAACAAAAGCATCGTGTTGCATGATGTTGAAAAGTTTCATTTGTAACTGTTACTTTTATTTAAGCTAAAGTCTTAAATGTTTAGTCAGGTGATTGTTCCAAAAGTTTAAAAGACAATTAACGCTTTACAGTATTTAATTTTTCATGTTTTAAATTAATAATTGACTGACATCTACAACTTTAAATTTTAATGATTTGATTATTAGCCCACTATATCCATATTAATTAAAAAATAATTTTCTATAATCAGATTAATGTTTCATTTCAATAATCCGCAACAGGACTGAGTGGTTTATAACTCTTTTTCTGTAGTTTTTTTCAGTCTTATGTTTCAATTGTTACATTCTCTGGGCAAATATATTGGGTCTCCTTTTTTTTTTTAAACACAGCAATTAAAAAATGTGTAAAAACAACAACAACAAAAAAGATCATCTATGCATATTATTCAGCATTTGCTGTCTCTGTGGATCCAGAAAGGACAACTGTGACCTGAAGCAGAATGCATGTAAATTTAACCCATCCTCTGGTCTTAAATGGCACGTTAACTCCTGCATGTATTTAGTGTAATCTACTTTGTGAATCCATTGCAGAACTTACACATCTACCAGGGGACAAAACAGAGGAAATTGTGCTGCTTATGAATCCCTTCATGATGTGCTAATGGGACTGATTTTTGTTATGGAATAGCGTACACACATTCCAACATACCTTGATTAAGAAAATCTGAAAAGATCAATTGGCTTTGAGAGCTTAAACATAACCCATAGTAAACACAAACAACTCGTGGTTATTAAAAGGCCTTTATTTCCTATTTGTTTTTTACAGAACTGGTAACACATATGATAAATTTTGTAATAAGTTATTTGGTTCCCTTGATAACTTCGGAAGGATTCCCAACGTATGTCCACATAAGGGTCAGGAGACGTTTTTAGCAACGTTTGTGTCCAGTCAAAGGCTAAAGCATGCGATCCACAGTAGGCACAAGTACTGACATGAACACGCGCACCACAACACTAGACACGAAGAAACACGGCTAGGGGACGTAACCTGACTGTCCTCCAATGCATTAAAAGAGGATGAAGAGAAGAAGGTGAAGCTTGGAAAACAAAGAGGTCTTAGGAATACAGCTGCATCACAGATAAGTGGAGAACTGAGTACTGTGGATTTTGGTTCGGCCCTGCATGTTTGGCAGTATACAATATGTCCATGTTGTAAACATGAAGGCCGGCATTCTTTATGCTCTGCAATAGCAGATTTAGGTTCCTGTTTAGCTTGATGACAAGGAGAGAATAAGTTACAGCAAAAGCAGACAAGGACACGAACATAAAGCAAATGAGAATAGAGCATGGAGACAGATCTGTCGCTTCAAACACAACTCTAGCCATTAAAGATGCATAGAGTAAAAAAAAACAGAAATGATTACACTTATGCACAAAAAAGATAAAAAAGAAATATATTTACTAACAGAACACATATGTTATCAAGAGCTGGCTTATGGGTATCTACATCATGTTCTGACTGTCAATGGACTGAATTTTGCCCAGTTTCCCTTTATAAATCCCACTGTATGTTCAAAAACAAAGCAAAACATATAAAGAAAATCCCATGTATGGGAGCAGTGATCTAAATCTGTCTTTGCACAGCTGAAGCAGGGCAGCTTCAGAGCTATATGTGCATACATGAATGTATACATGTATACAGCATTCAGGGAAACAGATCACTAGCCATTTTTTGTATATTTTAATGTGTTACTTATACATAAAAAAATAAAAAAATACAAAAAAAAGGGACAAACACACAGACCTTTAATAAAATCTGTAAAACATTGTAATTTTCAGCAATGTCTTCATTTAATTTTTCTACAGGCACAAGAGCCTGTGCACATAGAACATGTCAGTCTCCAATATTGTGTGATAGTTGTAGTAGTGGTGTAGTGGTAACCAACCTTTAAAAATGAATTAAAACTCTCATAATTGTGCCATGGGTGTACCTGTTATAACACGTTTTTAAATGTTTTGGTTTTTCCTTTATTGTTTTTTTCTTTTACATTAGCTGTGTAGACCTAAAAATGTGGAGATGAATACTGGCAGCTGTTCTCAGGTTGTGGCAGTGTTTCTAAAATGCATTGAAAACAAATTTTTAAGCTGCTCTCAGTGCAGCATTTGGTCACAGTCAATGGCATTGATGAGATGGCGATTATTACCGTATTGAGTTAAGACAATGTGGAGCATCAGTTTTATGCAACACATTTAGGGCTCTTGTCAAAACCGAGGTGGCAGTTTCATCTAAAATATACTTATAGTAACTTTTTTTTAATAATTTTAATAAATATTTAAATTGTTTGGAAATATGGGCTTGTTTGCATTCTTGCCTAGAGTAAAAGCAGGGAAACCATGTTTTACACATTGTGGATTAAATGGCCCTGCTTTATTGTCCTCGTCTAAAACATTTGATGTAACTCATGTTGATATTTTTAGCCTCTATGCATCTTGGTTAGCAAGTTTATCATGCAACCTTTACTTGGGCCAGTGGTCAGTAACATTTTCAACCCAAAAAGCCACTTAAACATTTAAGTTTATGAAATAAAATGTTCAGTGCAGTCTTCTTGGCCTTTTTTTCTAAATATATACTGGATGAAATACTGGATAAATTAAGTTGTATTGTCAATATACACAAGTTTATATTCATTTATAATCTTACATATTTATTTGAAATATTTGTTGAAAGTTATTTGGCGCCAATGTGAAAGGGCCAAACAGCCAAAATTGACCCTGGAGAAGGAGGCTTTAGACTCCTTGTCAAGGAGATTCAGATCCAGCTTCTAACTTTTCAAATCATTTTGGGTTTAAGTAAAAAAAGAAAAAAAAATTCTAATAAGCCATATTTCATATATTGCAATGTTAACATTCCTTAGGTCCAAGCTGATATAAATATGTAATGTCTAACATAGCAAATAAGGTTTGGGGTGGATAATTTTCTAAATAACCTTTTACTAATCATAAAATATTTTAATAAAAAGGAATGCTGTTTTAAATGTTGCTTTTCTAATTGAGCGGCATCGGTATATGTCTGTGTCCTCATTTAAAGACATTGTCTGATCCAACCTTGCATTTAGTGTACAAATGTGTGAGGTCATCCTATATAACTCAGGGCAAGAAAGCAAAATTTGATATCGTAAAAGCATAGAGAACAAACATATGCATAGTTTTGTCAGAGGGACTTATCCTTAAATCCTACATTAAACAGGTTCATTGTGATTGTTTTAAAATCATTATTTTAAGAAGAGCAGTTGATAAAAAAAAAGAAGCTGTAATAAGTGTCTAAAGAATGTTAGAGTGTGTTTTATTATTGATATTTGATTCTTATGAGTAGGTACATTCTCCAAAACAGGGGGAAAGGGAACTAGAACCCTGACTCAGGTTCCTTAATATTTTCACTCAGCTTTATATATCACAGACTCCCATAAATATAGTTTTAGCTATATTACCAAAAACCTAATACAGTAATATATTTTAATATTTATTTTTGCAAATAAAATATTGACAAACACAATC